CTGTCTCTTCCATGTGCTGCCTCCCGGCAGCAATTGCTGCTGCAGGGTCCTAGTGCCCCCCATCTCCACTGCCAGGGCAGACTAACTCTGAGCCTGCCCTTTCCCCTCAGACCCTTCCCTTTTCCAATGGGACCCTCCAGCAGCACAGGGGACCCCCCTGCCCGCAGTCACCGCTCCTGCCCCATGCTGGGCAAGGAGGCAGCCCCATCCCTCATCCCCAGTGAGGCTACAGTCGGGGCAACAGCAGGGGAGGAAGCGCATGCAGCGCCCCCTGGCAAACTCACCACAAGGGAGGCGAGGGAGATTCCTGGACCTGAGAGGGACCCTAGGAGCACATGCAGTGACAGTGGTGGGGGTGAGTGTGCTGATGGGAGAGGGCAGGAAAGGGGGGCTTGTCGCCCAGAGCTTGCTGCTGCCGGCAGGGAAAGAGCTGGGGGGAGTCCTCCTCTCTGGCCCCTGTCCCAGAGCAGCCTGCCTGCACCCCAAACTCATCCCCAACTCTGCCCCACCCCAGAGCCCACACCCCATCAGAGCTTTCACCCCCCCACCGCACCCTCAACCGTCTACCCTAACCCTAACCCCTCCAGCACCCTAAATACCTTATCCCCAAGTCCCAGCCAGAGCCCTCACCCCCCACACTCCTACTCTCACCCTGAGCCCCTCCCACACCCCAAACCCCTCATCTGCAGCCATACCCCACAGCCCTCACCCCTGCACCCCAATCCCCTGCCCCAGCCTAGGGCCTGCACCCCAGACCTCGTCTCACCCAAACTCCCTCCCAGAGCCTTGGGCAGGAGGTGGGCGGAGTTTGGGAAAGGGCAGGTTCTGGGCACCACCAAAATTTCTACAAACATGCCACGCCTGGGGTTCTATTAACAATATCATCTCAAGAAAAAGATTAGGACTTGGTATGTAGCAGTGGTCAAGAAGTCAAACAAGTTACTAGGATACATAAAGTGTGATGGAAAGTAATACAGAACATATAATTAAATTATATAAATCATTGGTACATCCTCACCTGGAATTCTGTGTTCAGTTCTGCTCATCTCATCACAAAAAGAATATAGCAGAAATAGATGGGGTTCAGTAAACTATTACGGGCATAGAATAACTGTCATATGGCGTGATTGAAACGACTGGTATTATTTACCTTAAGGAGGAGTTGAATAATGATACAAGTATATAGGGTAGATAAATAACAATTGAATTTTTTTTAAATGTAAACACAGGTTTTTTTTTTGTTAAATGCCTATTTAAAATTCAATTTGAAATTATGATAACCTAGGATAAGGCCTTAACTTCTTATAATCTATTAAAATAATAGAAATTAAAACAAAACATTAAATAGTACATGTTTGCTGACAAGTTTTAAAAATATTCAGACTACTGAACTGATGGCAGTCACTGGCTAAGCACCTGAAACCAGAGTCTGTTGAAGTACGAGACCATCTTTTGTCAGAAGTAGCCTCTTCTCCAGTTAGAGAATATTTTCTTCATTTTAGTTTATTTAACTCTAAGAAACCAATTGGGAGTTGAAAAATCAAAAAAGCTTGATTTCTTCTTCCAATCTATGAAAAAAAATAGGTGAGAGTGGCTGAGATCTACTAGTTCTAAAATCTTGAAGGACATAGTGACCCAGAGACGATCACTTCATGTTTTGAAAAACTTTTTTGTTGTGTATCCATAACATTTAAATTAAACAATTAAAATGCCGGTTTTCCATCCAAATACAGCTTGTCACAAATCACAAGTAAAAAATTAATCATCTAGTAAATAAGAATTACATCCATTCACAATTTTCTAACGTGGTGTGACAGACCCAGACCAATGGGGTACAGGAGTCTGGTAGAGGGCAAATATACTGGTCACTGGATGAGTAGTTTTCTATTCCCTGAGTGACCAGAGCAGGGGCTGCACTAGAGTAATCAGGAACCTGCTAGAACCAGTTATGGCAGGCAGGCTAATTAGGACACCTGGAGCCAATTAAGAAGAAGCTACTAGAATCAATTCAGGCAGGCTAATCAGGGCACCTGGGTTTTAAAAGGAGCTCACTTCAGTTTGTGGTGAGAGTGTGAGGAGCTGGGAGCAAGAGGTGCAAGGAGCTGAGAGGGTGTGCTGCTGGAGGACTGAGGACCACAAGCATTATCAGACACCAGGAGGAAGGTCCTGTGGTGAGAATAAGGAAGGTGTTT